GAGAGGAGAGAAAAAAGGTTTATTTCTGCGCTGCAACTTATCTGACGCGTTCTGTATAATTGTGACTATTTTTCAAATATGAAAAATTAGACTTGCAGATTCAAATCATTACTTTTGTGAACTTATTGAAAAAACAGCGTAAATTGCCATGCAAGCTTGCAAAGCATAAATTTTCCTTATTTCTTGCAGCAAATGATACTGAGTAGCGCAAAGCAACACCAAATAAATGTCTAGAAACTTCTTCCGCTTAGAAGTCTCCTTAGAAACATTCTTCAAATAAAATTAATTTCCCAACTGAACTGAGGCTGATTTGAAAAAAGTGATTATTTTGTTAAAACACAGAGATATTTGGGACTTCGGTTTCAATTACGCATATCTGAAAACATATTTTTGTGAAATTACTAGAACAACATTGTTGTTCGCTCCATAGATTTAAAACCCGGATTATTGCTTTGTTCAGCCCATGCACACTAAAATCTGATATTCTAATTGGTTTCGACACGTGAATTCATTTATTTGTTACATGAAATTACGTTTTAAATTGCATGTAAAGCCTGGTTTTTTTCCTTTGTTCATTCGCTTTTTGAATGCAAAGCCTTCCTGGAAGCTGTACTTTGTCCGGCCAACATTAGAATATGAAGCTGGGTTTGATGAGTTTCAAACTGTTCAGGTTTCTGTTCTGTGAATCTAAAGCGTTTCGATTTTCCGTGATCATCAGACAGTGTTCAAGTGTTTTTCAAATTGGGGCTTTGCTTTCGTGGTGATTTTTGCGGACTGGAGCTTAGCATTTATTTCCTTGACAACTTGCGAAGGAAGAAACGAACTTTTTGATGGGTTTTGCAGGCCAATGGAAGTTCTATAAGTGGACAAAGTTTCGCTTTTTACTCACCATCAGGGAATTGACAAGGTTTTGTCAAAATTGCGTGTGAAAATTATTGCACATGTGAAAAACCTGATTAAAGGTTTGAGTCTGCACTAAGAGAAATATTGACTGAAAGATCGCGATCGGTCAGAAACGACCCAAACTGGACCGAAAATGTCGACTATTTCGGATCAGAAGAATAAGGCGGTTTTTTAATCAGGTCGTTGAATTCCCCCCTTTTTTTGGATAAATCTGATGTAGAATCGAAGCCGTTTTGAGAAACTTCAATTTTCTTGAGAAAACCGACCTTGTACCCTTTTGGATCAAAAATAGGATCTTGAGCGCTCTCAAAAACCATTCAAATTGAGCAACAAACGTCGATTATTTGGGATCTAAAAATTCGAGTTGGTTTATTAATGAGCTCGCTTTTTTATGATAAAAATAATGTAGAATTTTGGCATTTTAACAGACTAAATCGATCCGAATCGAATAGAATTTTTGGTCAAAAGTCAAATTGTTAAATTCATGTTTTTTGCTCTAGATATACGCATTCAAAGTATTTAAGTCTACGATAGGGTGTTTTAACTTTTTTTATGTTGATATTGAGAAAGTAGTTATGGTAAACATGACACTGATATCATTTTTTTGCAAAAAAGCCTCCATAATAAAAGCGAATTTCAATTCAAATCAGATATTTTACGCCAAAAACGCCGAATCCGTATCGTTGGTTGCCTATCCCAATTGTGACGTAGCAGGTCATATCAACAAAGTGTGTCGTGTTTATTTTTTTTGTTTTCGCCGCTTTGTTCTATTATTTAAGGTTAGGTTAGGTTAAGTTGAATAAGTGAAATTATATATATTATTTACCTAATTTAAACCAATACAAAGAGATTAGTATATTAAGGAGAGTGTAACTAATAATGATTTTACGGATTTTTACTTACGCTGCTGCTTTCACACCCTTAAATTCGGTTTAATTAAATTAAAAATTCGGTAACCATCAAAATAAGTACACATGGTAAATTGTTTGTTGACGCTTTAAGGAATCCTTCTGAAGCCGTTTTTTAGTTTAACACAAACACAACACAAAATAATTAATGAAACACAACCACACAACTAAACACTATGCGCAGAACGTAAACAACCCGCCATTTATATGACCAGAGACGTCACAACCAATAGGACTGCGTTTTAGAGATTCATAAACAATTTGAATTTTAGCTGAATTTTTATACTAAATATTTAACAGAATCGCAATAGATAGATAGTAGAAAATCTCGATTATTTTGGGCAATCCTATTTTTATGGAGGTTTTTGAATCCGCGGCATCTTTCCGGTGAAAATCTTAAACAACTCCAACCATAACCAGTTGGAAACATTAAGTTCTTGCCATATTTTGCCTGAGACAATGAAGTGAAAATATGGACAGCGACAATATTAATTGCTTTTAGAACAATGTGCTTGACAGCCAAAGTCGGCATGGCTATTATTCGGCCAATTTCGTGATTCTACCGCAAATTGAGGTGCAAATTCCACCTGCAATAAATGGCCACCCATTTAGGCATGTTTGCAACAAAATTGGAATAGTTATATGAATAGGGGTGGCATATTCGCGCCGACCGAGACAGATGCGGCATTTTCAAAGCGAATCTGTGCAGTTGACCGATAATTTATTTTGCTAATTTAGCCCTTTGAATGGCCGAACATTCCGCATGTTTACTGAGTTTTGCGCAAAAAAGCCATCAATGTTAAAAGCGAATTTAATTTGTTAATTTATCAACTGAATGTTTCTGAGCAAAAATACAAATCATCGGCCGTTTCTCTTCCGATTTTAGCTGATAGACACTGATCCATAGCAGGAATTGTCTAAGTAAACTTGCCCTCTAATCTCCCGTGAGCTTTTCGCCAATGGCGCACAAAAACAAACAGAACTCAAATATGAATCGGCCGATTTTTCATACCTTTCGGCTTCCGAGGCTTCATGTGAAAAGAAATGCGGCCGAGAGTTTTCCCTTAATGGCCGGACGTTTTTCACCCAAGAACTTCTTGATGTTCAAGAGAGTAATGATCGAATGGATTTACATAAATATTCGAATCGCGCACTGGCTGTTCGTATTATGTGCAATCCATCTTTTATTCAGGCTCGCATCTGAATAAAGGGCTTAATAATGTCGGCCCTTAATTACTAAGTAAACAGATCGGTGCCAACTTGCTTTCCCACACAGTCAGCACTGTGAACTGTTCCAGATGATTGTTGAATTTTCAATTATCATTGGAAAACCCCCAACTGTGATTTGAATACTGCGGAATAGTGAAAACGGTGTGATTGAGTTAACTGCGCTAATTTGCCAACTCGGAGCTGAAAGGACGCATTCATAAAGCAGTTTTATAAATTTTAATTAGACGGGCCCCAGTTCCCGTTCAAATTACCTAATTATGAAATATGCAGTAGTTGCGGAAAACTGTGTATTTTGCCCTTGGGTCTTATTTACATACTTATTAAAATATAGGTGTTTGTAAGCGTGTAAAACTCACCGGCAAATAACAGCGCTGAGTGGAAATATAATACAATTAAGAGTATAATATAATTCGTGACATTTTGGCCAACTCTTGACCATAAATATATCATGTTGAAATTTTCTCTATTATGTGAAACTGTCATTATTCATTCAATTCTCACGGTTTCAATGGGTTCAACGATAGCAAATCGAGCTCTGAAGTTCAAATGGGTCTTGAGATAAGACGAAAAAGGCGATTTTAGCAATTTTTAGCTGGTTTGGAAGAAAGATGTTTTACAGAGTAGAGTTTGAGTTTGCCCTGCCTTTAAACATTTCTAACTTTTAATCCTGAACATACAACCAACTGAATTTTATGAACCATATCGAAGACACTTCCGTCTAAAAGATCTATAATTTTCAATAAAATTGCGAGAATCACTGATTTT